AAAAAAATTTTTTTAATTAAAGTTGTCTTAATTAATAAATTTTACAATTAATGAATTGATGAATTTCTATCATTTTTATATCCCTCATTTTCTTTCATTACAAACAGCAATACAAATACATGCATTTATTTGATGATTAATGAAGATATCGAAATGGATATATAGGAATATGGTAATGATGATGAGAATCAAATTTCTCTCTCTTCCTCTCTTTCTTCCTTTCTCTCTTTCAATTTTACAATAATTAACGATTGAAATTGATTCATCATCATCATCGTTATTATTATTACTATTATTATTATTATTATTATTATTATTATCATGATCATCCTTAAAATGCCATCATTATAATCGTTACTATTTCAAGTACTACTACTACTATTACACTACTCATATGCAAACAGTGATTTATTTTCAAATACTCTTTTATACCTTTCAAATCCTTTTTCATACTTTTATACCTTTCACCTTTTTCATCTATCATCATCTTTCTTTTAATTAAAATTGGAACATTTTATGAATTTAAAAGAATTTATTATTAAAAGTTTCATTGAAAAGCCTTCAAAATTGCATTATAATTTGATATTAATAATAATAATGAAAGTTTCAAATCTAAAAATGAAAAATTTTCTAAAAATAAAACTATTATACATTCATTTCTATTCATATAAATATTATTTATACACATTTCTATCATTCTTTTTTGTTAAATTACTTTATTAATTAATAGTTTCAATTTTATTAATTTAAATTGAGAAGAAAAAATTTCCTTTCTTTTTTTCTATTTAACTACTTTGTTAATTGTTTTAATTTTATTAATTTAAATTGAGAAGATGAGAATCTGAGAAAAGAAAAATGATTAAATTCCTAAAAATGAATGATGTATATGTAAAAAGTTTTGTTTTATTTTTTAATATTCAGATGGATATGAATTTTCTTCTTTTTCTTTTTCTTTTTTTTTTGATCACCTCATTATTGGCAATCTTAGTTTGATTGATTAAAATTTTAATTTTAGTCAATTTAGTTTTAATTTGATTAATTTAATTTTAATTTGACTAATTTCAAATTTAATTTGATTAATTTTAATTTGACTGATTTTAATTTTAATTTGATTGATTGAAATTTGGAAAAAGTTTTTCGTTTTATTTTTCTTTACATTTAATAGTGAGTCTACTGATTACTATAAATATAAATGAGAATTTATCATATTTTCAACACTATCAACTAATTAAGACAAACATTTTTTTTTTTCTTCTCAACATTAAATCATTAAACAGTAATGTACTGAAAATATAAATTGAGTTCTAATTCAAGTATCAAATACTCATATTATTATTTTTTATCAATGTTTTTTCTTTTTTTTTTTCATTTTAGATCACAAGATAATCGTAAGATATTCTCAAATTTGTAAATATATAATTGCCAAAAGATGTATGTTACTATTTTTGTTAATTGCTTTTGTTTTCAAAATTTTTTAAATTCTAAATTTCCAAATTAAATTTCTAAATTAAATTTCCAAATTAAATTATTCACAAGTTTTTCTACTTTAGAAAATGCATTTTTAGAACTAACCTTTTTTACATTTTCTCCCAGGAAAACGTGGATCGGTTGAGATATCAGCAAAACCACTCGGACATCGGCATTGGAAATATCCCGGTTGTTCGCTGTAACATTCTGCTACCGGATCACAATCATGCAACGAATCATCCTGGCATGGATCCGAAACTGAAAAAAAAGAAAAAAAAGTCGAATAATGTTTCATATTTCAAATAAAAATAGTTTTAATTAGAAAAAAGAGATTAGCTATGAAATACAAATATGAACAAAGCTAAAAATAATTTTGAACTTTTTATATTTGATTTGTAATTTGTGATTTCAGTATTTAAATTTCAACTACATCTTCAATTAAGTGAGATTTCAAATTTCTCAATCTTTTACTAATTAAAGTTTTCAATATTTTTTCTTTGCATTTTCATTGTATTTTGCTATTTTATGTTTTAATATATAAAATTTAATTTTAAATGAAATTATTCCAAAAAAAAATCACTTTAATTTTTAACAAAAATAAATTATTTTTTTGTAGAAGTATTTTAATAAGCTAAAAAACTTCCTAATAGCATAAAAAAAATCACAAGTTGCATTTCCAATAAAGTTAAATTAATCCTTGAAATATCTTTTTTTTTATCGTATTTCTTTTAAAAGTAATTAAAAATTACTTTATCATTTTGCTGCAATTTTATCACAATTTTGTCGCAGTCTTATAAACCAGATAAATGTTAGTGTAGGAATAAAGTATTATTTAATTTAACAATTCAATATGAATTCGATAACAAATTAATCAATTTCACTCTGCAAGCATAGT